TCTATCCCAAAACCCAACAACTGCAATTATCCCAAACCCCAACAACCGCCTCTATCCCAAAACCCAACAAGTGTCTTTATCCCAAATATCTCCTCTATTCCAATTTCCCAAACCCAACAATCACCTTTATCCCAAAAACCCAACAACGCCTCTATCCCAAAACCCAACAATTGCAACTATCCCAAAACTCAAAACCGCCTCTATCCCAAAACCCAACAACTGCAATTATCCCAAACCCCAACAACCGCCTCTATCCCAAAACCCAACAAGTGTCTTTATCCCAAATATCTCCTCTATCCCAATTTCCCAAACCCAACAATCACCTTTATCCCAAAACCCAACAAAGCCTCTATCCCAAAACCAAACAATTGCAATTATCCCAAAACTCAAAACCGCCTCTACCCCATATACAACAACGCCTATATCCCAAAACCCAACAATTGCAACTATCCCAAAACTCAAAACCGCCGCTATCACAAAACCCAACAACCTTTAAATCTGCCTATAACCAATTATCCAAAAAAATGTCTTTTTTTCCAGAACACACCAAAAAACTCAATTTGTTTAGGAAATTCTGTTTGTATTGGAAACGCTATTTATATAGGAAAGTGTATGTATAGGAAACTTTGTATGTATAGGAAACTTTGTATGTATAGGAAACTTTGTATGTATAGGAAACTTTGTATGTATAGGAAACTTTGTATGTATAGGAAACTTTGTATGTATAGGAAACTTTGTATGTATAGGAAACCTTATGTATAGGAAACTTTGTATGTATAGGAAACTCTGTATGTAGAGGAAACTTTGTATGTATAGGAAACTTTGTATGTATAGGAAACTTTGTATGTATAGGAAACTTTGTATGTATAGGAAACTTTGTATGTATAGGAAACTCTATGTATAGGAAACTCTGTATGTATAGGAAACTGTATGTATAGGAAACTTTGTATGTATAGGAAACTCTGTATGTAGGCCTATAGGAAACTATGTATAGGAAACTTTGTATGTATAGGAAACTGTATGTATAGGAAACTCTTTTTGTATAAGAAACCCTATGTATAGGAAACTCTGTATGTATAGGAAACTCTGTATAGGATACTGTATGTATAGGAAACACTATTTGTATAGGAAACGGTATGAGAACTAACGAATGACAATGATATTTTAAACCTTACACCTATAAAAAAAATATTTAAAAAAAGGTAAATAAGAACACGTATATTCTCTATGTAAGGGGAGCGAATAAATTTTTTTTGCAAGAAATGTCCCTGCTTACCAACATATATTATGTCTGCGTCTGTTTGGTTGTGTCTTCCAATATCATTTAGATAACAAATGAAGGATGGTTTTATCCTGGTGAAATGGGTGTGAAACAAGGAGAATCGTGTTGCGTTGAATTCTTGCTGTGTGGAGGTGTGTTTGTAAGGTTTAGGGGGTGTATTTGCGAAGTTGGGTGTATTCGTAATGCGTGGGGTGTAAGCATGAGGTGCGGGGTGTGGTGTAGGTTGCATGCATGATATTCGTGTGGGGTGTGTTTAGTGTGGGTGTATTTAGAACGTGTGGGTGTATTCGTGTGTTTGTGTGTTGAGGGGGGTGTATTCGTGAGGTGTGGGGGTGTATTCGTAAGGTGTGGAATGCAATCGTGAGGTTTTGCGTGTATTAGTAATGCTTTGGGTGTAGTCATGCTTACGGGGGTGTATGTATGATGTGTTGGAATGTATTCGCGATGTTTGTGATATATTCATGATGTATGGGATGTATTCGTGTTATATGTCTAGTAATAATTATGTGTGTAGCGCATATTTAAGAAGTGCACCACGCGGCTGACTCATAATATGTTGTGTGGTATGGGGTGGGAGTGGGGGTGGTGTTCCATTTCATTTGAAATCCTGATGTATAAGGCCTGCGCTAAAAATGCTGATGTTTGCATAAATTATGTCGCTGCTGTTATCTTGGTGGCATTATGTTTAATGTGTGTGCTGGGTGAAAATTAATTGTATCGGGAGAGGGGGGGGGGGGGGTTGTATATGTTTATAAGCATATTTTTTTTATTGGCCAGTAATTTAATTATTTGATTGTGTAGGTTATAGTTTGACTGATCTGTGTGCTTTGTGTTTTGATATGAACTTTTTAAAAGTAACTTAACAAACTTGTTTTTTTAAACATTGATTGAATACAAATGTTTATGCATCTGTTAATGGAAATGGCTTGTGAAATTGGTTGGTGAGCTGATGTGCCGGGGAGGGGGGGGGGGGGGTAGAGTGAGGGGGGGGGTTGCCAGGGATTCTGGTCTCAGTGGGGGAGGGGGGTTGCGAGGGATGCAGGTCCCAACGGGATAGGGAGAGGGAACGTTGCAAGGGATGCAAGTCCCCACTATTGACACACGTTTAATTCTAATACGTATATCTTGGAATAGTTGAACTAGTGCATTCTGGAGTTTAAATTAATTTTTTTTAAATGAAGAGAAGAGATGGGGGTGGAGCAATTTTTTTTTGTTTTATAGCAGAAAGAGTGTAAAATTTAATAGCACGTCATTGACAGTCTAGAGTTAGGCGATGAGCCTGGCTTGACTTCAAATGCTACTTCCGTCATCAACAGGAACTTTAATTCTCTGCGCATGTCAGGTAGGAGATTTATGCGCTTCGTTTTTTTTTCTTTAAATTTTTATCTTCCCCCGTTTTTTTTTTTATATTGTGTGTCTGGGCTTTCTATTTTAGCTTGCTTGTAGGGAATATAGTTATTTAGCGGTTTTTTTTTTCTTACTTGTAGCGAATGTACAATTATTTAATGACAATTTTTGCCTGCTTAAAACAAATACAGCGAATTTTATGGCAATTTTTTTTTGCCTGTGGTGAATACAGTTATTCAACGACCATCTAGAAAGATGTAAAATATAGTTATTGAAGGGCAATGTTAATTATTGAAGTGAAATCAATATGGTAATGATATAAGTCTTTTTAACAATCGAAATGTTAGTTTACACTTTTAAATCCTACGGAGATGTAAGGTGGGCATTTCATCTACTTGTATGTAGCGCGATGTAGGTTTTTTTTTTATTGTTTTGGCCATTTTGTAACCTCCCCCTCCCCCCTCCCCTTTTACTCGTATATGTTAAGTATTAAAATCAAGGCATCTGCTGATTTACAAAGACAGTTAGGGATAGGTTTTGGGATAGGTTTAGGGATAGAGCTAGGGTTATGGATTGGGATAGGAATATGCTTAGGGATAGAGAAAGGATTAAGTTTGCGCTTGGGGATAGGATTAGGGATAGGATTAGGAAGAAATGTCGCAGTTTTACGCATTGGGGATAGGATTAGGGATAGGGTTAGGAAGAAATGTCGCAGTTTTACGCTTGGGGATAGGATTAGGGATAGGGTTAGGATGAAATCTCGCAGTTTTATTATCATAGAGAGGGGGGGGGGTGGACGGACTTACAATGAATAACAATAACACCCTTATCTGCTAAACATGTTTTATCCCGTGGGTTACGCCGGTGCTGTGAGAGTTATCTGCCCGAGTTATCGAGAGTTACCCAGCCATATCTGCAAGTCTGCGCTGTACCGATGAAACAAGGTTTACCTCGGCCGAAAATGGGAGACGTTATTTAAAGTTGTATTAAGATTACAGCCCGTTCTGTTGTTGAAATAAATTCCAGTCGAATCTAAATCTGTGTGGGTGAAGGGGTGATTGCTTGTATATATGAATATTTCAGGAATCTCTTCATGTTGGAAGGGGGCACATCCCCCCCTTCCCCCCGAACGTAATAGAAGTTATATTGAAAATATATACTTTTACCAGTGTCCGCCCCCCCCCCCGCCTAAAAATGTATTTCGATACCCACCTTGGTGAAAAAATTTCAAGTCCCCCCCCCCCCCCCCGATCCCGCAGGAAAAATGTCTGATGAAAGAAACACTGTCTATTTGTGTGTTTGTTGTTTCTAAGTGTGAGTGAGGGGGGGGGGGTAATACCTGAGTATGATACAAAAATTCAAAATCAAATCTCCAAATTGAATCAGCTCACGAAAAGATGAAATGTGTATATGTTCGGATGCCGTATTATGTTTAATAGCGCACTTGTTCGATAATATCGAAGTGGGATTTTGATGAATCAAATTTGCCAATTAGCCCCTCCCCCCCCCCCCCCCCTCTCCCATAATTGTTAGGCTAACTTAACTACTCATGAACATCCCATCTCTATAAAAAAAACTGTGCCACTTTATTATATGAACAAAAGACAAAGGTAGGCTACATCTTATTATGACTATAAAAATAGTTTAAAGACCTCAAAAATTTAAGGGCCCTGGGCTGTGGCCTGATCAGCCTATTCAAATTATCTGCCACCGAAAATGGCCATGAAGTTTAATACAGGGCTATGACTGGGATATGCCGAATCTAGGATAAGACTGACAAAGTGCTGTTTCCGCTTAGTACCCTCCAACAAAGTGGTGCCCCTTAAATTGGCTGTTGCTAGGAGAAGTTAGATAGCAGTGGAGTGGTCGAAGGAGTGCGAGATCGAACCCAGGCAAGAAAGCGAGGGTGGGGCGATTTAATTAGAACCAGGTAAGCTCTACTTCCCCTTTATAGAATAAATTCATCGTGTCGATGGTTCCAGTAGTGGTGTGTGCACGCATGCGCACACATAATCTGGGTTAACACGCGGTGTTTGTGTAATGGTGTTTTTTCAGGACACGTTTTAATTGAAAACAATTCAGGATAAGGTTTTATTAAAAATCTTCGCTATTAAGGACTATGTAATAATAGGTTTACACACACACACACACATATCTATATCTATATATATATAATTCGAATGACGGAAAGAGGGACTGACACACTACCTAGCGGCATATATTAGAAACTCGTCATTTTTGCCCCTGACGCTCAAGGACGACCGCCGTATTTTTTCTTTTCTATCACATTATATATCGACATAAAAGTAACATGTAGTAAAAATCAATTAAAAATCAACAAACGTAGTTTAGAATAAACAAATTTATTGTACTAATTATACTCTAAAAACGATTTGACAAGAGAAAATAAAAACAGATTATCAGGATCCGCTTGCCCCCTGTAACTATTGGGGTGTCCGCCCCTCGAATCTCGGTGGGGGATTCCGCCCTCGATTCTCGGGGTTTTGTTGACTTGGTGTAGTAGACCAGGTAGTTTTGTTCATGTTCAGATATATGGCATTGAAAATAAAACTGCTCGTTCATCACACGTTCTTACACCGCACGCCCAATCTCTCACAATTACACCTACACAATTTTCCCAACATATACACAAGCCATAGTCGTTTCTCAAATTAATAAATAGATTTCAAAACGAACGAACGAAACAAAAATTTAAAATAAAAAAAAAAACTCAGTAGGGAACAAAGCTATTATTTTTTTTGAGGCAACAAAGTTTTTTGTTTTTCTTTGAATGTAACGGAGTACACGCCAGAGGGTTCGTGTACTGTAACTCAGAAGTTTCGTGAACACTACACAGGACACGTCATCACAACACACGAGTCGAACTACAACACAGCAGATGGTCACGGTCTAGTGACGAGGTATGCCGTGTTTTACACAGCGAAAGGAACACATTACAAATAAATTATACACATATAACATAAAAACATTGAAATACGTTGCATACATGAACGAAAAACCTATAAATAACATAAACAACATAAAAGTACTTTTGTTGAAAACAGCTTACAAATACGTTATGCATTTTGAATACTATATAAATACATTACAAATACCCTAAAATAAATTAAATGTACATAAATACCATACAAATACATAACTAAACACACCATAGAAAAAAGCTCATGAAACAGAAAATGCACACACATACATACAAAGCAGAGGACGTGATTTTGTGCACCATATAACAAAGTACACAACATATCACATAGTACCTGTGTACATAACACAGTACATAAGTAATGCCCAGAAGGCCACGAAAAGTGCGCAATGGTACATTTTTATGACAGCACTAATACACACCACAATTAAACAGTACACAACACGACTGCGCAACACACATTGCTATTCCACAATACACAACAAGACAAAATCTTTGGTATAGATAGCTGGATGTACATAGACAACGTAAGCAATACCTGTACACACGTTGGGCGGGGGGAAGGGGGGGGGGGAATTTACAAGGGTTGAATTGGACGTACGTCTAGTAGTTGGGCATATTAGAAAACATCTTGGAGGGATATGATGCAGGCACAATTTTGGAGGCTCACGGTACAGAAATATACTGGCGCACTTTGCATGACAAGTTTAGCGCGGAAGTCCAGGAAGACTGGATGTAGGTAAAATTTAGTAGGGGCATGTTTGGATGAATCTTTTGGGGGGCGATTTTAGAAATATGTTGAAGGGGTGTGTTACATGAATGTGTTGAAGGGCATTTAGAATGAGGAAGAAGTATTGTGTTGGATGTCACACCTCAGAGGGCATTTAGAACAACATGTTTAGGAAAATTTAGGGACAAGTCGAAAGTAAATGGATTGGCAAAATGTTCGAAGTACACACATTTTGGAGAATTTGTGAGGGTGGGGGTTGTTGGAGAGAGGGTTTACGGAAATATGACAAAGGATTACGTTAAATGGAGTGATATTAAGGGACATACTGGGCACATGTTTGGGGGATAAGTTGAGGAACACGTTAAAGTGAAGTAACATGTTTTGTGGATGGCTGTTGCTGAGATTAAGGAACATACTGGGCACAAGTTTGGGGGATAAGTTGAGGAACATGTTAAATTAACATGTTTTGTAGTGACATCTGGGTGGCTGTAGCTGAGACTGAGGAACATACTGGGCACATGTTTGGGGTACAAGTCGGGGAATATGTTTGGAGAACAAAAGGCACATGCTGGTTTTTAAAAAAAAAAGTTGTGGCGATAACTGGATGGAAGGAAGCTGGGTTCAAGAGACATACAGGCACATGTTTGAGGGATATGCTAAGGAACATGTTGCATATATTATTCACATTAAACCAAGTGTTGTTTTCAGACAGTGTTGATGTCTCCATTTAACTAAAGGTGTTGTTTTAAAAAATGGGTCTAAAGTTTACTAATTGAGAACCTTCAGTTTGTTAAAAAAATAGCATGGATGCAAGGAATTTTTTTCTATATTAGGCAAAGAGCTATGGATATCAAAAATAACTTTAAAAGTGGAGAGGTAAACATAAATAAAAGGGCCTGTATAGTATTTTTTAAATTAATAAAATGAGCATAATTAAGCCTAATGTTTAATTTTGTTGGGGTTTTTTTTCTCATGAAAATTTCCAATAACATGTCTAAGCATACTATATTCAAAGAAACAATTTAAAATCAATTTGCTTTAAAAAAAAACAAGCGACATTTTGAAATAAATTATAATTCATAAAAGTAACACAAACATCCCAAGAGAAACTGTTCCTCCAATTTGGCAAGTCTCCCTGGCCAAGTCAAGTAAAATGTGGCCAAATCAAATTTTAACTGGCCAAAATCGTAAAATGATGGCTAGTTTTAAGTTTTAAAATCCTGGCAAACTTTTATTTTAAAAATGCACGATAACAAGTCACAGCAAGTCATAGGCAACATTGCTAGAGCTAGCCGGTTCGGTATTTAGGCTGTACAGCATAACAAGAGCCCATTTAACACGTACACAGGAACTGTCGAACTTCGTCCAATGGCAGTTTTGTATGTTGATCCAAACACTGTTGCTATGATGGCCAAAATGGCGTCCTGGTTGTTAGGATGGACAAAATGGCGTCCTGGTTGTTAGGATGGACAAAATGGCGTCCTGGTTGCTAGGATGGACGAAATGGCGTCCTGGTTGCTATGATGGCCGAAATGGCGTCCTGGTTGCTATGATGGCCGAAATGGCGTCCTGGTTGCTAGAATGGACGAAATGACGTCCTGGTTGCTATGATGGCCAAAATGGCGTCCTGGTTACTAGGTTGGACGAAATGGCGTCCTGGTTGCTAGGATGGCCGAAATGGCGTCCTGGTTGCTAGAATGGACGAAATGGCGTCCTGGTTGCTAGGATGGACGAAATGGAGTCCTGGTTGCTAGGATGGACGAAATGGCGTCCTGGTTGCTAGAATGGACGAAATGACGTCCTGGTTGCTATGATGGCCAAAATGGCGTCCTGGTTGCTAGGATGGACGAAATGGCGTCCTGGTTGCTAGTATGGACGAAATGGCGTCCGGTTGCTCAAATAACCGAAACAGCGCCTAGTTGCAAGGATGGCCAAAAGGAGATTACTCGGGTGGCCCACAGTCATATCTTGCAGGTGTGGCCCCGGACAATTGTGTGACCTTTGTCTCATTAGTTAGTCCCATAATTAGTTAATTACTGGAGGTAGATTCAAACAACATCGGTGGTCATCTTGATAAGCAAAAAAAAAAAAAAACTACTACGTCACAAAAAAAGGAGCGGCAGAGATGAATTGGTTGCCATGACGTCGGGTGTATGACGTAACGCGGACGAAGAAAGAAAGTGACGTATCAAGGCTAAGAGTTGCGATACATTACTCTACTAGCTAAGTATTGGTCAAGCATTGCAACGAAGGATAAATATTTCTCATTGCTATATATGCCCGGCGATTGGTATGCGAACTTCAGCGGAAGTAACGCGAACAACAGATCCATTTTCGCATCTGGCGATGGATAGCGACTTGTATGGATTAAGAACCCAACCAACAGTTAGCGATGGAGAGTAAACAGCTTGTAGAAGCAGGCGATAATCAGCACAGAGTCATGACGTAGAACACAAGTCGTAAACGACAGTAGCAAATCTAAAATTAAAGAAAAACCTCATTTTAGGGCTTTTTTTTTCTTTCTTCAAAATCATTGTATTTTTTGTATTTTATTACAATGTGCCGATTTTTTTCATTTTTTCGTGTCAATGTTTTTCTACTACAGGTAACTCTTGACTCCCTTATTTCCGGGGAGGTAATTCCCGCGTTCACTTGCAACCGCACTCGTCGACGGTCATGTCCTGGTAGGTCTTCAGCACCGTGCGGCCGTTCTCGTCCCGGTACAGCATGGAGATGGGCTTCATCTTGACGGGCACGCAGCAGACCATCGGCACCTTGCCCTTGTCGATCATGTACACCCTGGCCTGCAGCATGGCGTGGTTCGACGCTTTAGAAAAATCTGGCAGCGGCGCGTTGCACTCCCCTTTGCAGTAGTACGCCGGGTAGCCGTGAGGGGCGACGATCCAATCGTTCCAGCCGACCTCGCCGAAATCGACGTACAGCCCGTGGCGCTTGCAGATGGATTTGTTGCCCTTGATCTTGGGCCGTTTCTTTTTCCGGTTCTTTTTGTTTTTCCGGTCTTTTTTCTTCTTGCCGGTTTCGGCGTTTCGTCGGCTCCGGCTCCTGCGCAGGACCGTGGTCGTTTTTTTCTTCGCGGACGTCGTCGTCGTTGACGAAGGGGAGAGTTTATCGTCCGTGTAGACGACGAGCAGCGGCCGCTCCAGCGCCCACTGGTGGTCGGCCAGATGGACGGCCCGGCGGAGCCGGATGTGATTGTCTGTGGACACGACCGGGTCCCTGGACACGACCCTGACCTCTAACCCGTGGTTCACGCCCCGCCTCCACCGCAGCACCGCCGGCTGAATGTCAAAGCTGACCCAGCTCGCGTTGCGGAGGTTCACCGGCCGGGTGTCGATGAGCCGGGTGATGCCGTCGTGTTCCGGCGTCTCCGGCTGCATGATCTCGTGCACCTGAAGTCTATGCGTGGACAGGGATTTCCCGTTGGTCGGGGCGAGCGCACCGTCCACCGCTGGTGCTGACTCGCTGGCGAACAGATCCGTTGTGTGGGCGAAGATGCGCAGCTCGGCGCCGGCGATTGTTTCGTCCTCGGAAATGGAGGCCACGTCAAAATGGATCCTGGAGCACAAGGGAGGTAAGCAGGACCGACTCTCCGAGTCTGAAAAAAACAATTGAAATATTAAATAAAAAAATGTTATCCTGAGATTTTTTGAATAATTTTCAGATAGAGAAATACAAATAGTGGCAGAAATTTAAAAAAGAAAGACTGCAACGGTTTAGTCACCTGGAATTAATAATCATAAAAATTACAGAGAGGTACAAATTGGCGGATTAGCAAAAACCCAAGAAACTACCAAAAAGACGGGACCTAGGACAATTTGCTGTCCAGAATAAGATAAAGATAGAAGACAAACCTAAGTAGAAGAGGGTGGTGTAGGTTGTTGAGCCACGTGGATAGCTGCGTGTCGAAGTTCAGAAAGGACCACAACAACAACAAAAAATAATCTGCTACTATCCCAGTACATTCGTACATAATAGTGATAAATTACATCTTCGTTAAACAGCGTCCAAAAACTTCAATTTAATTGAGGCTTTTCTTTAACGATCATATCGTTAACTCCGTACAACTCATTATCACAAATTTATATCAATAAGTAGGGCCTATTAATAATACTAAAATACGTTAAAGAACTTTTAATGGCAACCAAAGCTTTGACTACTATTAGATTACATCGTTAGCAAAATATGTGTACTTTTACCAGTGAATTCAAAAGCTTGTTATTATAAAAAGGTTTTTATACATGTTTATATTTTTCACAACGTAAAAATAAATTTAAAAGAAAAACGCGTGTAACAAGTTAGAAACGCCTACCCTGAATTTCAACCAATCAGAGATGGTCTCGTGAAAGTTGGTATTTGTGAAAGGAGAATGTAATTTCACGGATTGGTTCAACAGCAAAAACAAACATGTAGTTAAAAGTGTTGTGTGTGGGTTAAAAAATAAAAACCCTCACATTTCAAAGTCTTTTTTTTTTTACAAGGCTGCCCTCCTAAATTTCTACATACATTGCTAGCATTAGACTACAGCCCACTCCAGCACTTTCTCCCGTGAGTCATCATCTCTTCCCGTTGGTACCCAAGACACATGGGGTAGATGCAGTGGCGTAGCGAGGTCGGGTGTAACCAGGTGCGGCACTTAATGGTGTCAATCCCCAGAGGCGTAACGACCCTTCCCGGGGACAAACTTTCAATTTTCGATTTGCACCCCCCCCCTTCAAACTTTCGATTTACACCCCCTCCCCTCAAATTTTTCTCTATATATTTTGCTATTTTTTGCCTTGGTGTCAACCCCTAAATGGTGTCACCCGGTGCGGTCCGCACCCCCACCCCCCGTTACGCCTCTGGGTAGATGAGGTAGAATTCATCTGTTTCAGAGACCTCGACCAACCCTCGTTTCATCTACCCAACCAGAGCTGCCCACCATCTTGGAACAGGCCAGTCATTAAGTTAATGAATGCCCACAAACAACAAATTAGGTAGTTAATACCCACCGCGCCCATTGTCTTTAAACAGCGCCAGAAAAAAAAAAAACTCGTCTGTTACAGTATTCATTGTGTATAGTGCATGACTAGTTCTTGGCATTCTATATAAAATCTAGGCATTGTATGTAATGCTGAGGAAAAGTATACAACAACGCCGGTGCGCGGACCTTTGACCACAGGTGCTTTGACCATAGGTGGTTTGACCAAAGGGGCTTTGACCATCTCGGGGCCCTATGGTCAAAGCTCCGCTGTGGTCAAATTCCCTATGGTCAAAGCACCTAGGACCACAGTGCCGATATTTCATACTTTGCCTAAAACGACAGGGATTGTATACATTCTCTAGGCCCTAGGCATTCTATAGACTGCTGGGTTTCCATGCATTTCCGGTAACATATAGCCTACGTATTTTTAATTATTTTTTTTTACAAGTACTCCTAACACTTTGTTTTAATCATATTTTATATATAAAAGTTTTATAAAAAAAAATTATTTAGTTTTTAATATTTCATAAACTGTAGAAACTTTTATTCTCACTCTGCCTATTCTCCCCCGCCCCCACTCCACGAAAAAAAAAGGGTTGGGGGTGGGGGGGGGGCACAGCCATGTTTTAGCACAGTGTTGACTTTAAAGTATCCCGTGGGCCTAGACGGTACGTGCGAGCCCGCGCCAACGGCAACTGCCTGGTCCCCCCAAGCGCCGTCGAGACGCCGCAAGGGACTCTACTCCGCGGTCAACCGGGGATAAATCTATTTGACTTGGACTTATCTCCCCCGCTTCAAGCGAGCCAGCCGGCTACATGTTTCATGCGGGCGAGCAGTGCGTTGTGTTGTCCGGACGGCCGGTTAAACACCGTGTTTAGATTTATGAGAAAGCGATAAATATTCCAGACATTTTTTTTCCTCTTCTTCAAAGGAATGCTATTTTTTATTTTATTTTCGCCCCCCCCCCTATATACACACACCAATAAGGTAAAAAAAATTTTTAAAATAGACGAAATCCTATGTTTATTTAAGTTTTGACATGTATTTGGAAAAGAGCAACAATTTTTAAAAAAAGTTTTCGAAATTTATTTCATCTCCATTTATTAGTTGCCATGCTGATTCTCTGGTCTTAAATCATTTCAATGTCTATACTAAAACCAAACTGTCGCCTAACCCCACAAAAATAACCCATCTTTAATCAAGGGTCGATAACTTGTTTTGAGCCAAGAAACCCATTATTTTATACAGTGTTATCTAGAATGTATTTTGGGAGACCCTGAAGCAAATATTACAAATAACTAGCATTAAAACATGTAATTTTTAAATAGATCGTTTATGTATCTTTGAACTTTGTTTTGTATGACCTACCAAAAAAACCGACAAGAGCCGAGAGTTACCCGGTGGGTTAAAGTGACCCAATAACCCACAGTGACCCAGTAGCGTGAAGTGACCCAGTTTCCGAAAAGGACCCAGTAGCGTATAGTGACCCAGGAGCCGGAGAGACCCAGTAGCCGGATGAGCCAACATAACCACAGGTTCAGAGGCGTATCCAGGTTTTCGTTGTAGGGGGAGCGGAAATAGCAAAAAAAGGCGCCGAATATGTAATATTTTCTATATAAGTATATATATATATATTTATATATATATATATATATATATATATATATATATATATATATATTAGCTGTATGTTATTGTTTCGATATGATGTAAAATAAATTTAAATAAGCACTCTGAAGAAAAAAAACACACAATGTAGGCCGACGAAACAAAAAAATATGGTATCACTCTTTAAAAAAAAAAAAAAAAAAAATATATATATATATATATATATATATATATATATATATATATATATATATATATATATATATATATATATAAACACACTGCAACCAAAAAACAATGAACGCGGCATAATCTGTTTCGTAATTTTTGTAAAAAAAATTACATAATAATTCCTGGGACATCTAAGACTAGAGAAAAGGGGAAATAATCAATATCTTAATATAAATATGTATATGTCTACACATTTTATTATAAATATCAAAACAAATCAATAATTACTTTAGAATCTAATAAAGTAGCTTAACACTATTCGTTTTTACAAAAATTATTTGTCTATAATCAGAATTAAATATATTGTCATTATAAATGCTAAAGTATTACAGCATAATGAAAGTTTTTTAAATCAGAGTTGTTATAAAAGCCAGCTTTTCACTCTACAATATAAACGTTCGAAATAATAATAATAGCCTACATTTAACAATAATATCGATCTTACATTTCTAATTAGTCAATTTTTTAAATTGCTACTGACAAGTTGTGTTTTTTAAAGATAATTTTTTTAACATAATGAGAAGGTATGGGTTAGATCACTGTATTGCTCACACACATTTTACTGGTAATTGAAAAAACAATATTCACAGAGATTTACGTTTCAAATGTGCCGACCAAAGATAATTTTTTAACAAATATCAATGTTAAAAACTTTGAGTTTAAAAAGTTTCCAAGAAGGCGCCACTTTGCTAAAAATGGCCAGAGGGGGAGCGGCCGCTCCCCCTGCTCCCCCCCTGCGTACGCTACTGCACAGGTTGTACACCCCGCAATATGTGAATATCCTGCGATTGCGGGCATGTGACCCATAACGGAATGGTAGTTTGTTTTATTGCATGATTGTCTAGGTTTTGGACTAACCTTTTCTATAACGAACAGACACGAACCGACACCATAAAAAAACACACACACACATATATTAGACATCTAATAAACATAAAATATCAAGGAAGTGACGTCATGAATGGATGATATCATGTTCCAGCGAGGTTAGTCTTGGGCTAAAGTCATGGGTTGGGACGTGACGTCAGGGATCGAGCTGTGACACCATTGGTTGGGCTGTGACGTCATGGACTAAACTGTGACGCTCTGGACTCAAGTGAAATCATGGGCTGGATTCTCACGTCATAGCTGGTATTTTTTGCCACCTCTGACGTCATGGGTCGCGCATGTAAAATTATGGGCCAGGGTGTGGTCATAGATGGGGATGGGGGGAATTAAGAGGTCTGGGGTGTAAAGTTATATCGGCGGAAAATACTCACTGGTCAAGTTAAAACTATTCCCGTAGCTGTGAAAACAAGGGTTCTAACACAGCTCCGCCTGACCGTTCCTATGTTTTTTTTTTAAAATTCCAGTCTGAGTCCACAGACGTAGCCCTGGTCACGTGCACCAGTCACGTGCCCCCAAAACTCGCGCATGCGCCCTTGACGAGCGATGAGCAGACACGGAGGGCTGAACGTTAAAATAAATTGCCGGAACGTCGGGCAGAGTGAGCGTTAATGCGCGCGGCAGTCAGCCGTAGACGTGCATGTTTAGTCGGTCCGTTATGGGTGTCTGGGGGAGGGGGTGAAGTGGGGGTTGGGGATACGGTAAGGGATGAGACGTATGGGGGGGGGGGGGGGTAGTGGAGCTATTGATAGTCAAAAGTAAATAATCTTTGTAAGAGAAACGGTAGCAACAATTTTTTGGGTTTCTGGTAATACATAAAGGAGACGTTATAAATATGTGAAAATGCTCAAAGGCAGCGATCATTATCGATTCCCGTTCGTGCCCAAGACACATGTGGCAGGTGAAGTAGA